GGCAGGAACAAGGCCCTTCCCTTTATGCCTCGCGATGACACCAGCGAAGAGGAAAAATGACCTTGATGTGGAAACGTCACAACCGCCTCTTATGAGCACAAAGCACAAGCCATTAATTATCCTTAGCAGTGGAAAAAATTATCAACGGTGCAAAAAAATAGTAGCCGGCAGATGTTTGCTGGGATTTTATTCTTCATAATCACGTCAGCTAAACTGAGAATGATTATTGTTATCTTTCATTTGCTGCGATGCTTTGTCTAAATAACAGGTTCAAACAGACAACAAAAGGCTCCTGCAGGAGGCCTAATTAGCCGATTAAAAGATGATCTTATATGTTCGTAATGGCCAATCATTAAAAAACCATCAATAAAATTCAAATAGATACAGATGAACGTTTCCATAAAGATGTTTTTGTCTGGCATAATGATTCAGTCCTGTTTCCCTCTGATGTAAACATGCCCGAAGTCCTTTGCAAACACGGCAGCGCACAAGACTCCCACAAAGACACAAACATGAGCCTGCTAGACATCTGCTGAACTGTGTTGAGGACACGAGCTCAGTAGGGGGCTGGAAGAAAGTAAATATATTATCTCACCAAGCATCATGTATGCAGTGCTGTAGATGTGAGCTCTGTTCCCCTGAGCTGCCAGCCCACGTCAGTGTACTTTCATACCAGGCCATGGGATTTATGCATCATGGTACTGGTATTATGCTCTGTTTACTGTAAATTAAGGCTCCATCTTGATAACTGCAGCCATGAGGACATCTTATCTTTCCACAGCAGGCATTTTGATGTGCTTGTTCAATCGCCTCACCGTATCCGAAGGCCGCTGTACCTCTCACATGTGACAGATTCCCACCAACTGTCCAGCTTTGACCGTGAACTCCGGGTCACCCCGTGGTCCCTGAGCGCAGTCCTGATGAACATTGTTTCCCTGGCAGACATGCTCAACTCAACAGACAGAAAGACCATGCAGCTGCACCCAAACACCCAACAATAGGATGCTTGTTCTGGGGCAGAACAGGCTGGGTCCCCTTTTGGGGACGGGGGTGATGTGAGCGGGTGGTCAAATATTTCAGGGGTTTTGCAATAGGATAATCCTTTGTGATGTTTCTGTGAAATGAAGCGATGGTCTGCACATTTCAGGAGCATTTGACTCAATGGAAAAACTCATCCTTCCACTGTAGAAATATTTAACAATTTTACATGGCTGAGCATCTTAACAAAACATTTTGACACACACTCACTCTCTCACACACACACACACACACACACATGTTAGTGTGAGGTGGACAGCTCACTATGGATATTGTTGCCGGTCAGGTTCAGCATCACACTGGGAAAGGCAATCAGCTGTAACCACCATATATCAGAATATTTATTATGATTACCCATCATGCCATATTTAATTTTCTCCATGTGCTCTACAACAGAGAGCTCAGTTAACCAGGTCTCAGACCCTGTACCTAACTTCCAAATCCATAATATTACTCTATTTGCAATTACCATTCCATGCATACAGTGTTAGTTCTTCGCACAGAGACACGGTGGTTGAGTAGAGAAAGAGAATACCCAAATAATGTAAAATATAACCTTCATGCCAGAGGACCTCTTGAATATGCCTGACCAAATATGGGGCAGTTTTGGGCCTGTCCTGAAAAGCTGGGTCAGAGATGCTCCTGCAGATTTACGACCACATGGAGGAAATGGGAGGCCATTTTGCAGATAAATTGTTATTCATATTATTTATATCCCTTATTTTTATACTATTGATTTTATTTAATTTTTAATTTATTTGCAGACAAGGATACACACACACACATTCACAGGGTTGCACACATATTTCTTTGTTGGAAGCATTTGCCAATTAGCAAGTGGTGGAGTTGGAGTGGTAATTAGGCTTTCCAGTCAGCTGGTGTCTGTGCACAGCTTAGCTGAGACAGGTCCGAAGCTAAACGCCTCGCTATTTGTCCAGCAATTATGTCAGGTCCCCATGTCACAGTACAGACGTGACCAATTAGCGGTGCCAAGCCAAAGTGAAAGAGAAGGATTATGGCAGAGGAGATGGGGCAGGATGAAAAAGTAGACAGGGACTGAGTGTGGGGGTGTTGCGAGCTTGAAAGACGGAAGGAGGGGGTGAGGGATAGTCTGCAGGGAATAAGATAGAATAAAAGGAGACAGAGTCTGGTTTTGGAAATGAGGGGCAGGAGCGGGTAAGGAGGGTGTAAGGGAGCGGATTTCTTCTTTTTTCTATGCTTGTGTGATCATGTTTTGCATTGATCCTCGTTCTGACCGACATGTGGCTAAGACACACTTATGCATAGCGATATTTATGCTAATGCCATCTCTCTGAACAAGTGGGGATAAGAAATTAATCTTTATTGACGTCTCAATAATTCTCTCTTGCATCATGTGACACATTTTGATGAAACAAGCCAACATACAATCAATATTCTCCGGCCTAGAGTAATGTGACACTACGTCAATACCCGTAGGAAAGTATACAGAGCTCTAGTTTATCCTGGCATTGGTCCACATTTACTTCAAACTGACAGATTATACTTTGTATCGAGCACTGAACAAGCACCCGCTATCTGGGCCAGTCAAAACAACTCAGAACCTATAATACGGTCCCCGTTCTGTCTCAGGGTACATGAGGTAGATTTGTCTTCATGAGGTGTTTTAAAAGTTTCCTCTGCCAAAGTGGTGACACAATGGAAAAATAGAAACTGGGTTTGATACCAGATGACAAGATAGAGAACAATCTACACTGCTCAAAATGACTTCCTTAAATCACATCTCATCAGATCTTGATGAAGGAAAATATTGACTTTACTGATGTACATTGAATATTTTGTTGACAATAAAATGACGTGACGAGGGTCAATGGAAAACCAAAATCATCCACCCATTGAAGGCTAGATTCATAACCACACAGAGTCAAATTAAAAAATTTAAATCACAGGCTAATCCAACTTCATCACGGCAACTTGTAAAGTAACTCAGTAGTGTACTCCAGAACTCAGTACACCACGTGTGTATACACTCCTGACAACATCTGGGAATGCTCCTCATAAGTCGGCGGATGGTGTCCTGGGGGATCTCCTCCCAGACTGTGGATAGTCTGTTGCGGTACTTGGCGGCATCGGGTGCACTGTTACATAACGTCCCATGGGTGCTCAATTTGATTTAGGTCAGGGGAACGTAAGGGCAAGTCAGTGGCCTCAATGCATTGTCATCCAGGAACTGCCTACACGTTTTATCCCGGTCCAGCTCTCCTTGTGTAATGGCCGGTCTCCTGGTATCTACTCCATGCTCTTGAGACTGGGAGACACAGCAAACCTTCTTGCAACATATATGGATGTGTCATCCTGGAGGAGCTGGACTACCTGTGCAACCTGATTGGGCTGCAGGTACTGCCTCGTGCTACCAGAGGTTACAAGGACACTAGCAGAACACAAAACTAGACAATAATCAGTTAGGTAGGATAAGGAGAGAGCCATTGTCTGTAGTTACCACATGTAAGACCATTCCCTTTTTGGGGGTTGTCTTTCTTTTGCCTTTCCATCGCACCTGTTTTCACTTTCATTATCACCAAAGCTGGGGAAATTGATTTACAATCAAGTGCTTTCTAAACAGACAGATTGATATCCCTAAAGTTTAACTAACTTAGTGTGACGATTAATTATTCCCTTAATTTTGAGCAGTGTATATTTTGTGTCCATGCTGGACCTTCAATATGTGTCAACTGATTCTGTCATCTAATAACAACAGGAGGCTGTAAAAGTCTGAGAGATCCAAGATGAAATTTATTCTGCCTGCTGCAAAACAAAAAGAACCCACATAATCCTCTGTTGAAACTTCACCGAGCGCATCTAGAGGGGGTGGGGGGGGCTTCGTAAATATCCTCTCTATCCAGACACCGAGACCGTTGCGATCCTTGGCTCTGAATTTAATTGGACAAGGAAAGGGAGAAGAGGGGAGCCAGGGGACAAGGTGCAGGGCAGATGAGGTAGAATCTATGATCTGAGCATCTTCTCCCTTTTCCCTGAAAAAACAAGACTGTTGGCTCAGTGCCTGCGGAGATGAGTGGAGCTCATATTAATTAGTGGGCTTGAAAGACAATGTGGGAAGCTTTAGGATTGCAAGTTACTGATTCAACTACTGTGGATTGCAAACTTTTTGATTTGATTGTGACAACATGTCTTGCAAACTTGTCTGAGAGGAAAGCGGCCCTGCTGTGATGGTAACTTTTGAAAATGTCTGATGTAGAACTGTGTCATTACATTTGTGGTATTCCTCCAGACAGATGTGTGATTTATGTCGAGCCTGTCACAACTAAATTTGGCAAACTGCTTTTAGAACAGTTGCCTTTATCTCACAGCAACAACTTCAAGGGAGCATTAGAAATAAATGAACTCTGGGTAACATCTCCTAAGGATCAATATCCATTCATCAGGTGCCTGTAGCTATAAAGATGAAAGACAGGAATATAAAAAAAAAGTATATTTTTACAGACAGTGTTACACTTAATGTCCTCAGGCTTTTCCAAGGCAAGGGGAACAATGCAGCCTAAACCTGTCTGAAACAAAAACATCAAGTGGCAGATTTGGATGAAAAATGAACAATTCCTGCTTGCAGGTACACCGAGCACATTAATAGAGATGCACAGAGCTGAACCTGGGAGTGTGGTCTGTTTATCTACAGCAGATTATCTGAACTGAGGGAGAGGTGCCTCTTCATACACAAGAAATGTTTCTGCCGAAAAACCACATGATGTTCGGGTAATGATTAGAGGAAAGAGAGAGACGGCCATAAATGATAAGCGGAGAAAAGAAACCTGTTTGTCTTCGGGAAATGACTGCAGAACATGTGCGTGATTATGAGTTGGCGTACGTACCTCACGGAAGAATGGGTTACTTCAATTCCACACTGATGAATGATCATCACACACAACACAAACACAAAGACTCAGTAGGAGGAGACAAGGTCACATTTCTTAAATAATTTAATTGCAAAAAGGGTCTTTTTAAAAATATTTCTACAAGAATGCATCATCATTTTTAGTAATTTGTTGTGTATGTCTGCACCATTAAATACATCTCAATGCTTTTCAAAGAGGAACTAACAATTGCATTTCTTGGCGCCTTATTCCCCCCCTCCCACTTCACTACACATGTACAGTACTCTCTGAAACATCTCGCTTCCACGTATGGGAGGGATTTTTCAAAAGTGACAAGACCGCAGCGAGTTTGTTATAAGACAAAAAGAAAGGACAGTGTGTATATGTATTTAAAACAGACAACTGAAGAAAGGAAGTTGCTAATAAAAAGGGTTTGTCGGGGAGGACGGGGGGATTTTTGATGATCAGTGGAGGATGTAAAATAGGGAAAGAAAAGATGGAAGGAATGCTGGGAAAGGCTGAATCCTATTGGCACACAAAGAGATAACCACATCTGACAAGGCGTAGACTCTGCTGATCAAAATGTTCCTGTATAAAATGACAATCCTTTTATTCCACACACACACACTAACATAACAGTCCATCTTAATTTCACCAGTCTGGAAGATGAACAAAAAAATGAAAAGGAAGAAAAAACACATGAGAGCGAGTTCTTTTCCTCTGAGAATGCTAAATATTAAACCCTCCCCTGAACGTGTGAATCCACTTTATGATTAATTGTTTGCAGTTGATGTGGTGGCAGTTTTATCATTTTAAGATGTGCAACAGTGCCAGCTCATCACTCACGGCTGGTTGACTTTGGTGAACAGGACTCCAGATCCCAGCGCACCATGTGCACCTCATCAATAGTTCACGCAGATTCCAAAACGCTGCCATTTTTCAGAGTGGGCACATCTGCCATCTGATTGTGTTTAGCTCCGACATGCCGCCCCACACGCACACACACGGACACACACCTTTACTTTATGGTCAACGATTGTGTCTTGTGTGTTGCCACAGTGGGACTTAACTGATTAAATGATTGAGCTGAGTGGAGAAAGAAGGGATCCATATTGTTTGTTCCTGAGAGTAAAAGGGAGCTTCTGATTGCATTAATTCTTCGTCCTTTGTGTGTGCGTGTGTATGTGTGTGTGTTCTATCGCTCTTTTCAATCTAAATTCTTTAGAGAAAAACAAAATTCTTCAGAAATGACACGTGTGCCCATCGTACAAGCATTTTCAACACATTCTCATGATGTTGATAACTTGCATGTCCGAAAATGACACTTTGATGAAAACAAGACTTATTTCGAGTATGCAACTGGGAAAATGACTTGATTTTGTTTTACAACTGTTGCAGGTTAGAGAGCCTTTTAAAGAGTGAGCTCAGAGTGGTGAAAACATCTGTACATGGGATAAGATGAAACAATAGAAAATAGGGAACACATTGCTGTTTTGCATAATATTCTCAATGGCTTTGTGAAGGGTCTAAAAAGTGGCTGACTAAAGTAATATGGCGAGACACACTGCACGGCCACTAACATCACGCTATCATTACACACCTAACTAATAATAGTCACATATTGCATTGATCAACTCCAACCCAAACAACGTGGAGACTGGAAGATCGCGCCAATGACGCAGCCCCATCCCTTAATCCGCTACCATCAAACACCCCTCTGTCAGAGGCACAAATAGTACGGTCTCCACGATGCAGCTGCTATCATTTAAGATGAGGGCCTGCAGATTTTTCGGCTGTCTGCATGCCAAGGCTGTTGATCCTGCACTGTACTAATCATGCAGCAGCTTGAGACAGGATGATTGCAGGCCAGACAGGAAATGAAGAGAGATAATGATAGGTCAGCCCCGCCGTATGTTTGTGCGCTCGCAGTGCCAGATTGGCTGCCACATTAATCGACCTGACAGACAAAGACCAATAGGTCTCTTTTCTGACAGCTCTGGATTCTCTGATGAGGATTGTGTTGCAGCGAGGCGAAACTGCAGGTCCTGTGATGGAGCTCCGTGTCTGGGACGATTGCAATGATTGACAGGTGGGCTGCAACATCTCTGTGTCTCCCCTGCCCCCGAACAACTCTTTAATAACAGTCCTACACACGTGTACACATGTGTAGTGAGAATCCCTCTGAGGTTATGGTAAATAAGTGAAATCAAAGCACAGGTAAACCACGTCTGAGTAGGTTATAGGATGTTGGAATTAAAAAAATGTTGCCTGGAAGACAATTAGTAGCTCTGGGATTCCCAAACACTCTTTATGTCAAGAATGAGAATGAACAGGGGAAGCTCAATATCCAGTTGTGGTGGCACACACAATCACACAAACTTCACAGGATGACATGTTACCATGGGTTCGTCTCAGCCCTGACTTTCACCTACTTATCTTCTTTCAGTTTTTTTTCAACTCCTGAATCATTTCACAACGACTTCGATTTTGTCAAAACACCATTTTTTTCTTTTGTTATTTATCGTATTTTTGTTACAAAACATGTACAGGCTGTTTAGAACAACAACAAAAATACAATATCCAATTTATATGCAACTTCTTTTTTGTTTAATAATCATCTATTCATCAGGTGAATCCTCTTGGAGTTTTTTCTTCCTTCTGATTGTTCAGTCCACAGTCCCAGAGGCCGAACGGACCATCTGATCGGAGAGAGGGTGCTGGGGGGGTTTGGCGGGCGAGGTACAAATAAATACATAGGGCAGGATGTCAAGAAATGAAAACAAGTTTGATTATCTTAAAATCCAGATAATAGTAAGTAGAAAGTAAGGTGTCTGTCATGGTTTCTCTCAGTTTCTGCATGATGTATCTGCATATATATATAATTTTTATATATATGCGTGTGTGTATGTCCAAAGTTCATTGTTTTGGATTCAATAAAAAAGAAAGTTTAACAGTTGTCCACAGACTATAGCGTAATTGTTTCAGATATATTTGCTCCTTGTCATGGTTCAGTTCATGCTTTAATTCTCCACGGTGGCAAATAGCGGAAGCCATACTGTACAGTATATTTGTGTGCAACTCGACACATCCACACATCCATGCACACCTGATCACGCATCCACGCACACATGCACACGCACACGTACAAAAATGCACACAGAAGGCCAAGTGGTCTTTCTATAGCGCCACAGTCAATGTCCCCCTTTATCACATAGTCCAGTGGGGGGGACTTAGGATTGGCCGGCCATTTTAAAACCACAAATCTCCCTAAAAATGTGTAAGAGTCAAAACAAAAAAAAAAGGGAGAAGGCGAGAAAAACAATGAATTGTGGACAAACGAAAGTAAAAACATTTGCATGTGTAAAAACACACTGGATGAGCGAGTGATCCCAAGCTGCTGCGAGCTATCCTGAGTCACTTCAGGTCAAACTGAAGATTCAACACAAGTGTCCCAAAAATGTGGCTGCACATTCTCGACCTCTGTCGTCCTCTTGAGCTTTGACCTCAGCCCATCATTTTTCCTCCTCTGCCACCTCACCCTTCTTCAGCAAGTGCCCTTTTAGATAACGCACCTTCAATATGAAGATGGAGAACGACACACGTGCACAGTAAAAACGACTTCTATCAGGGAAAGAATTGTCCGCTATCTGCTGTGGGTCGAAACACGTCCTGTTTTTGTTTATCATGTGAACGTTGGCTCACTTATTTTTTTTTATAGAAGGGTGTTCTTTCTTTAATATATAATACGTCCATCAGAGCTGGGTTGAGGGGGTCAGAGGGCAGGGGGGCTCTTGCAGGAAGTTTAGAGTGTGAAGTTTCAGTTACGGGGGCTAAGGCCAACTTCACTAAAACACACATGCATGCAAACGTCACCCCACACCAGAGCCGGTGAGGCACGCATGGGATATAAGGAGCTTAACTCCTCCTTCAAAAACACACAAACTATGATTGGATGGAAAAAGGAACAATGACAAATAACAAAAAAAGCAGGAAGAGGGAATGGAAGTGGTGATGAAATTAAGAAAAAAAAAAAAGATTCAGAGGCACCGCAAGCCAGTTTCATTGCGTCTAATTGGCAGAGGTGGGTCAGGCAGCTAGGGTTTTCCAATGGCTCTCTCTGCCACAGTTCCTCCCCCTTTTTGTCCTGTCTGGCTGTCCTTCCGACTGCAACGTGTCCGTGTGTCCCGACGCTCACACCTGGACAGGAAGTGTTTGGTTCATCTGTAGTCTCATGTCCTGAATGCTCCCAAGAATCTTCTTTTGATGGCCGGCCAGCGTCACCCCTATCCGCAGCAGGTCCCTGTGGAGTGGGAAGAAAAGGACACAGGAGTAAGACCAGGTGGCTCAGTCAAAAGTAGAAGTAGACAAACATCACACGAAGCAGAAGAGCAAATTTCACTTTTCATCCACAGGTAAACACACGCTACCGGGTGGGAACAGGCAACCCTGGCAATCACCCATAAAATGGACTTCCTAAGGGTATGTCAACAAGATGGGGACGCTCCCACAGCTACAGCGAATGTTGGTGTTAATGCAACATGCTGCTGTTGCCTGGCAGGTGGGCGAGCGGAGCGCAGTCAAAGAGACATAATGTGATAGTTAATGATTAAAGAGCAAACTTTGTTCCTGTAACTAAGTGGCAGGCTGGTGTGAAGTCCACCAGCTGCTACACAGAAGCTGAGAAGCAGAAGATTTGTTTTCTGAGATATTAGACAGATTACTCAGTATCCTGTCATTTAGACTTAGAAGGGGTCCGTGTGCCAGTAAAGCAGCTTTACGTTGGCCACGGTTGCACAACATTCTTTACTTCACTATCCAAGAAAAACTAGTCTGGAGAAACCTCACACAGGCTCCCAGCAGGGTGAACTTTAGGTTTAGACCTTTTACTTCCTCTAAAGTGGAAGTTGCAACAAAAGGTTTTTAAATTATGACATTACTACCCTTTAAAAAAAAAGCCCAGGGAGAGAGAACCTGCTTTGGCCATCATTATCCAAACGGCATGATCTAATCATCACAGTCATGTTGGTTTAACACTGTACAATAATATCACGAGAATCTCTCTTTTCCGCTCGCTTGTTTGATTTCCCGATTTGATAGCTGAGGAGAGACGGCGTCTGCAGCAGCGATTAGCTGAGTGTTGGGGCTCTGCCACCGTCTGCGCCCTCTCCATTCAGTCCCCCACACACACATGCAGGATAATCTAATATCACACAGACGCCACACACTCTTCTTGTCTCATTGACTTTGCAGCCCTATTTATTTCAGTACAAAACTGTGCACCTTAACCCACACATACATCCACACTGCACACACATCCTGTCCAAAGCCAGATAAGGGTTTATCACTGCAAATAAAGTGTTTCTTTTTTATGTTTTTTTTTCCATATTTTGCCATCTCCATCAGCACAGCGACGGTGGATGAAATGATAATAAATGGGCACCATTAGAGGAATTACTGGCCATTAAGGGCCGCAGAGAGCCACAGTACACCACACCTGTCAGCCAGGCCAAATTGAAACAAATTACCTCCACCTCCATTGCCTATTATGCCGCTAATGAGGATGATTTATTTATCATTATAATCTTAATTCATTTATTTGATCATCACTGGCCTCCAATTTCCATGGCCTCCATTACATCATTTCCTGTTTGTAAACACGACAGAAGGTGGGTGAGTCGTCAAGGTCAACTGGAGAACGCGGTGAGGAGGTGGCTTCGAGTGCTCACTGAAAAGTTTATGAAAATATCCCCTGGATTGTACATAAAACAAATCATTATAGCAACTTGAATTGTTGAATTTGAATGGTTCTCATTTTCCATATAAATATATAATAACATAAAAGGCCTGACACTCTTTGTATTCATAGTAGATTTATATCACACAACTAATGTTTTACTGAAATGTCTGAGAAATATCCAAACACAGATGTAAAACATAAAAAAGAAAGTATATTTTACTGTTATTCATTTGATGTCTGAGTCGACTCTGTGCCCACTTCTCCCATCTCCTCGTGTTTAATTTAGCCATGAGATTATTTTTATTCCCTCAAGGTCAATCTGTGTAACACTAATTTGACTCTCAAACTCAGCCCAGTCAATCACTTTAGGCCTGATTAGCTGGAACCACTCTCTCTCTCTCTCTCTCGCTCGCTCGCTCCACTCACTCTGCCGTCATCTGGGCCACCAGGTCAAAGGAAGCGAATCCGGCATTGACGAAGTTGTCACGGTAGCGGCTCATCTTGATGGCGTCCAGCCAGTCCCCCACAGTGGTGAAAGTGGTATAGTCTGGGACACAGCGGTCAAGCAAGGGCTGGGACACCCTATACATGGGGAAGGGGGGGGGAGAGAGAAACAGAGAGATAGAGAGGGTTAAGGTCGTCACTCTGCTGCCTCTACCGGCCAACCTCACCCCCAAACGCCCCCCTGCTGAGCGCCACCTCTCCATTTCTCCACCTCTCCCTCCTCTCTCCTTTCTCCCTCCTCTCCTCCACATGTAGGGAGTTGAGTGGGGAGCGGGGAGCAGGGCATGGGCACACTTTTTATGAGAGACTGGCTGGAGGCTTGGGTGGTGGATGCTGGCGCTGCAGCTGGCGTGGCGAGATGGTGTGTGTTCAGAGAGCAGATGTCAAATTTGGGAATGAATGATGAAGCCCACCTTGCAATTTACAAGCAACCAGATGAGATTTATGTCAAGAATCTTTCAACCTTTGCTATCGCAACAACAACAGGTGTCATAAGCAAGTGTGTGTTTTTCTAAGTCAGTCTGCATTTATGTGGCCGTATCAGTGGTAGAGAAGAATGCAGGATATGTCACATGAAACCGTAGACATATCTGGATTGATTGACTCTCTTCATGCTGGTCGGTTGTGGTTTATTTCACTGCCGTGACATGTCGCTGTGCTGCATGGGGGACTGACAGATTAGATTTCAAGTCCTTTTCCTTTCTTCCCTGAGTGGTTGTACCGAGTTGCACTTTCAAACTACCTACAAATGTGGTTTGAATCTGATCTGGGACGACTGGATTCCATGCGGTTTCGCTTGTCAGTTGAAGCCAGATTTGCGCGGCCAGTAACATTATCTGAACTCTTAGGCTACAGGCCATATGTTTTATAGTGCATAATTACTGCATTTAAAAAACATTCTCAGGGTGTGAGTGAAACGTACACTGTGGGTTGTTTCTGAACTGGTTCTTTCTCACACTCGAGTTTGGTTGCGTGCAACGAAATCCCACGGAGGTGAGGAAGACACTTTGGGGGGAAATGTTTCATGACAGGGTAAAGAAATATCTGTGGAATGTAAACACAGATGTCACTCACGTGTGTGTGGTTGCATACTGGGACTCACTCCTGAACAGATTCCAGCGGTGCATGGAAGGAGTGACTCACAAACCTGTGTGTTGACTGTGCATCTCTGTGTCTGTGAAAGCATTTTAGTTGTGTCTGGGTGTATTTTTCCATGTTGTTCCACACCTGTTGACAAGCCTTTCTAAAGACGAACCTAACTCGCTGTGCTGATCAATGCCGCAGATACAGAGGCCACCTTGGGAGTTTTAATAAAACTCTGCTACAACTCGGAGCAAAGTGGAGTGGATGAACGAGAGAGGGGGGGTGGTGGAGGAGGTGAAGAGGGAGAAACAGACGAGGGAGCGGAGCGAAGAGAATGAGCACCACTGTCTCCCCTCCTCTCTGCTCTGTTGATCCCTGTCATCCTTTTTGATGGCATTAAATTCATTAACAATTAAAAGAGGAATGGAGAGAGAGAAAGCGGGAGGAAAAAAAAGGAAAAGCATGGAGGGGGGGAGTTAATAACAGTGATACAGAGGCTCCATTGAGTGGTGTAGATGGAGTGATTTTTAATAAGGCCTGTGCTTCGGAGCTCAAGGCCTCGGGCCGTCGTTAACGCCAGACTGTGGCTCTTCTCTTAATGGAGTATTGTTAGTCGTCCCTCTCTAAAGTTGGCTTCAAAGTGGTCCACAAGCCACAAGCAAAGACAGCAGAAATGCTCTATACTACTTAACACTACCTGGTGAGTCAGATACAAGCAAAGTCTAAATTCATGTTCCTTTGCTGGGACACAGTTTCTGCAGGGGTTTGGGTCGTTATTTTGTAATTTAAAAAGTTCAGAGGGTGGATGTTGTTCATTTCTGAAGACAGATGAATACATTTCACTTTACACCTGCAGTACAGTACGCAGTCATGTCAAGTACACACAGTACACGCACAGCCAAATAACTTTCAAGTCAGACAGTGCGAGCTAACCTCCAGGCACCCTTCAATGCCGACCAGGACGACTGTATCATCTCTCACTCCTCCCTTGTTAGGTCTGTCGGCAAGAGGCCACCTCTCTGCTGGCCCGTTTAAAATCTCGTTAGTGGCTAATTAAAAGGCGCTCCCATCTCTTTTTTGCATCGCCTTAATCGAGCTAATTAACCGCAAGCTTAATCTTCTAAGAACGTCGCTCCGGTGGCCAACCGAGACCCCGGCTTTCCCCCATGAGCCCAGCCAAGGATTGTCTGTGGCCCTCCCTCAAGACAGAGAGACCCTGATGCAGGGACAGATAGGTAGGTCAACACCCCCCTCCTCTGTGCTCTTCCACCTTCTCTCCTCCAAATTCTTTCCAAGAAACACATTGCACAGAGAAAGGTAGTGCAGGTTAATGTAGATGTGACATCGTTGATTGAGCCCCCAGTCAGTGGAGGAGTCGCTCCAAGGGTTGTATCGAACCACTGTAATTTGGATTAGCATAATAGTGCCGGCTGCATTTGTAAGAACCGGCGAGTTGTACAAGATGAAATCTGCACTTTATTTTGAGTTAAGAGATTGTTACAGCTGAGTCAGAGGGACTCACGCATGCTGTATCAACTTGGATAAGGAATATTTGTCCAGTGGAAATCATTATCGCACTCTGATACGCTCTGGATCAGGTGCAGATGAAATGGCTCGGTCAGTTCTCTCACGGCTGGAAAGACAAGTGACTCATTCTCATTCAATAAAGTAATGACCTTTTACTGTAATCCATCACAATAGTCCAGCCGCTCTTCTCCAAAATATGACTTCAGAAAACCAGGGAAGATTTTTAGAAAGTAATCGGCTGTAACATCCATTATGCAATGACCTTAATTAGACAATAAAATCACGAATCCACCAATTAAAACTCAACAAGGAGCTCCAGGGAAGCTAAGAATCAAAAGTTACGTCTATTTCTGTGATAACCAGCTCCACTGAACTGAACAAAGTGGCCTTTCCTGTAAGGCTTTGCCTGACGTGGCTTTTATACAGATTCGTAACTTAATATGACCAACATACTCTGACTTACCCAGTGGACTGTGTGCTGTTCGTGACCACCTTGAGGCTGGCAGCATTGCGGATAAGCTTATCCAGCGTGGCTACAATCTGGGTGAATTTGGGTCGCAGGTTCCTCTCTTTCACCCAGCAGTCCAACATGAGCTGGTGCAGCGCTGTGGGGCAGTCCATGGGTGGGGGCAGTCGATAGTCCTGCTCGACGGCATTTATCACCTGGGGAAGGACAAGAGAGAAATCCCAATCACTTCCAGTCATCGAGCATTGGTGTAGAGGGAGGGCGAACAGCACGGGGAGAGAGCCGGGTCGATCGAAAAGAACAAGTGAGGGAGGACAGGCAAGGATGAATGAGGGAAATTATAGAAGAGTCAGAGATAAAGAGAAAAAACCCACTAAAGGTAATAAAGATAATTTTCTTCTTTGGCCCTTATTTCTTTTTGAGAGGTAGTTTTGGGCAGATATGTAGAGAGCGAATGTGTTTAGGAATGTGATAGTAGATGAAAAACGTCCCATATCCATCCATTATCTGTAGCCAGTAGGCTATTTGTAGGGGGTGTGTGGTTGGATATCATGTAGGAATAAAACAAATCCTCTCATCAGCTTACATCTTGATTGCTCATGTCCCAGTACGGCCGCTCGCCGTACGACATCACTTCCCACATGACGATACCGTAGCTCCAGACGTCACTGGCCGAGGTGAACTTCCTGTAGGCGATGGCCTCCGGAGCCGTCCAGCGAATGGGGATCTTCCCACCCTGTGGATATGCGAATGAGTAGGTGAGCATGAAATACTGGAGGGATGGAGCACAAACACAGAGTCGCACACATACAAGAGGGAGAGAGAGGATGAGAAAAACACAGTCTGAGGGAAACGTTGATACACAACAACACGTGGGCACATGCTGCAGGACCCAGACGCCACACACACAGAAGGTTAGTAACACGGTTAGAGAAAATGTGTACAAACATATGAAGCTATAGGAATATTTAAGGTGCTACAAACTGTACTTTTCAACATCAATGTATCTCCATCATTTTACAGTCATCTCTTGGACAAAGTGAATTGTGGGTGAGGTGTTTAGCCACCATTACCTCCTAGGACTGGCATTGCTCTGGGTGTTTTTGCATTATGCTTTCTAAACCTAATCTGTACGTTTGAAGGGACTTTGTAAACCGAACAAATTGCTTGTTTAGTGATGGCAAATCCAGAAGTAGTCAAGTTAAACTTTTGTATATGGGCTGTGATATAAATGGACATGAGTTCTTTGAACCAGAACTCATGTCCATTTATAACATGAAGACTGAATCTCTAAAGACCCTTTCCTATGTGCCTTGACACGCTTTGCCAGTTTTACATGTTGTACACGTTGTATTATGAGAATAGGAACCATAATCAATATTGTTTTTCAGACATTCCAGTAATTTGACACATCAAATTACTAATTTGCTTGTAAATTTCTGGGAATCTGTTATCGTTTCAGTAGGAAAAAACCACATGTTCATTAAAGTGTCTATAATTCTGTCCTTTGTGACTACTTTTGTGGCTCTAACATGTCCCAAATTCATTATTCAGTAGTAATATATGTATGTAATATATATTTTCTTTGATCCATCATTTTAACTGTTCTTTTTTTTCTCTCCTGCCATCCACAGCGAGAACAAAAAAAACTTTCTTTCTACTGGTCATGTCTTGTGGGAACAAACTGACACAGATCTACTTTTTGAATGCCCTGATACTTGCCAATGAATCATTTGCAAATCGGGCCAAAATCAAGCAATGGTGATGTATTGATGTTAAAACGATACATGCAGCACCTGTAAACATTGTTTTATAAAGATGTGAGTACACACACACACACACACACAGACACATACAGATATTTACACTCACCAGTGAGCTGGTGTAGGTGGGATCTGTGGGGTCGTCCTCCAGGAAGCGAGACAGGCCAAAGTCAGAAACCTTACACACCAGATTACTGTTGACCAAGATGTTGCGGGCGGCCAAGTCTCTGTGCACGTAGTTCATGTCCGACAGGTATTTCATGCCCGCTGCGATGCCACGCAGCATGCCAACCAGCTGGATCACTGTAAACTGCCCGTCATTGAGCTGGCATAGGAAGAGACAACGACAAACATACAATTTAGTTGCAAATCAAGGTCGCATGTTCAAATAAATATATTGTATTTCTGTTTTTATTCGTCCTTTATCTCTTTCTGTTTCTCACATGGTTCTATCTCTTTCTGTTTCTCACATGGTTCTATCACTGTGACATCTTTCTTTTGTACATCCTCCGTACCTCTTCTCTCTCTTTCCCTTGTACCATTTCCCTTTCTCTGGCAGAGAATGTATGATGGGACTTTGAGGCAGAGACTCATTGGAGACTAAGCTCTTTGTAAATGTCACCAATTGCCTGAATGCAGCATTTGTGATATATCCATTCAGGGCACTGCAGCAGAGCTTAAGAAGACCTTTATGGCTTCAAAGAAAGTGAGATAACTAAGAGAAGATCAGGCCAATTTGGATTTGGGTTGTTTGCTGGATAGTGTAACATTATTGATAAAATCACAGATCTGTGTTTTGTAAGGAGTAGCTAGAGCTCCCCTTGTGAGTGATGTGTTAGCGTGTGCCTGATTTTCTCACCCTCAGGAATGAGTCCAGTGCCCCATTCTCCATGAACTCGGTCACGATCATCACTGGCCTGCTCTTGGTGACTACACCTTCCAGTCGGATGATGTTGGGGTGGTCGAACTGGCCCATGATGGAAGCTTCGGACAGGAAGTCTCGCCTCTGGCGGTCAGTGTAGCCCACTTTCAGCGTCTTGATGGCTACGATGATCTCCCGGCGCCCGGGCAGCTTGAGGCGTCCACGGCACACCTCTCCAAACTCTCCTGTGAGAGCCCAGGTGAGACAGCCAGAGGAACAGCAAAAGAGAAAGAGGAGATGGAAGGAGAGACAGAGAGAAAGAGGAAGGGGGAGAGAGGCATGACGGAAGAGTGGAGGAGAGTGGGGGAAAGAGGGGAGAGGGGACAGTTAACTGGTTAGAACCAAGGAGCCAGGGAAGGGTAGCGGGAGGGGGTGAGACAACGGGGACTGCAAGATAAGCCAGGACTCTAGGCCAGTTTCAGGGGATGGTGGTGATGGGGGAGCATACAATGACTTTATGCTGTTAAACTACGAACTGAAGAAACAGCATGGTGAGTGTGAGGCATGATGATGGAGTGAAAGAAGATATAGAGTTGAAAACTAATGCATGTTGAAATAAAAAAACAAATGGGTAAAGTTGGGTGAGAGGGTGATAGGAGCTAAGGGGGACAGAGGAGGAAGGGGGGAAAGGATGAGGGGGCGGTGCTAAGCTTCAGAGGTGCTGGAGAACCGGGCGCAGGAGGAAGAGATCGGTGGAGACAGAAGCTTAGGGGTTCTCGGGGTTGTGGACGCTTTACGTTTAGAGTCTACACCAAGCGTGTGCAAAGAATGCAAGAAACGATTAGACAATGAGAGCAATGTATGTCGACAAGGGTGCAGAGATAACACAGTGGGGGAAGTCGGGGGAGAGAGGGTGGGGCATGGAGGAATGGAGGAATGGATTGTGGAGGGGGTAGAGGAAAGGAGGGGGACAGGGAAGACAGGGGTTGAGGGTTCGTCACTTAAAAGGCGAATGCTGGGAAGCGACGGGTTTCAAGTAGCCACAGCAGTAGAAGAGTTGTCGTAGTAGCAGTAGTAGTAGCAGTAGTAAAGGTAGTAGCAGAAGCAGTGGTAGGGGACTCCCATCTCTGCCATCACAACGTCCTCCATTTTGGCTCAGATAAAATGCTAAGACAACTCAACATCACTTGGCACAGTCCTGCAGCTTTTGAGCAGAGATATTACTATCAAATATATCAAATACATAATATGTTTTACTATCTACGACATCAAATGTTAGGGAGGGACTCTAATGGAAGGGGCACAACCACATATTGGAAGAGGTGTAAGTGCCGGGAAAAGGGGTCGAATAGTGCTCCAGCAGAAGCCCTCTTTAATAAAGAGGTTCTCAAGACAGTAAAAAGTGGGCAGTGTTAGAGACGGCCAATCCTGGACAAGAAAATTTCAATATTTTAGATCCCATCTGAAGAGGAGTAATACCTCAGAGGGATGTGCAAGATGAATATAAAAAATACATTCTTGGTATCATGCTTTGTAAAACCCAAGATTCTCCATTTCCCCAGGCTGCTACAGATAAAACGAATTAATGTAAGATAGCCATAATCACATTTGATAAATTTGTAGGGTCTGATATATTAATTTTGTTTGCATAAAGTCATTTTATTACACTGCAGAAGTTGGAATATTTAAAACAGGTAACTTTTTGGACAACTTATGCTTACGTCTTAAGCCAGTGATTCTAAAAGAAGTACAATTTAATCTAATACTTTAGAAGTATCTCAGTATGTATCTGCTTCCAGATTTCATAAGATTTTCTGCAGCGTGATATGTTTGATAAAAATCTATTTTTTTTTCTTTCTCTTACTCCAGGATTGGGCTCCACTTTAATGGCACAGGTGAAATTATAATTCACCAAACAAAATGGTATTACATCTACTTCACTAAATGTATAAAACATATAACATACAAGGGGGTGCTAGGACTGTGAGTCTCTCTAACTAAACAACGATATACTGAAGCTAGTTCAGCTAGTTTCAGTATATCTCCAGCTCACAGGAGAGTGCTGGGCACATCTGTAAGACTGGGGAGGGGGGTTTCCAAAGAGGTGACGAGTGTGGTAGGGATAGGGGGCAAGAAGAGGGCTAGCGATGAATTGAGTGAAAGTACCGCTTGGTGTGAAGTCCTCTAACGGTATGGCCTGGAGGTGACTAGCAGTCTTCCCCCTGTAGCTCAGGAGCTTGGGTGGGTTACCTGCGCCGATGACCTCCTCGATCTTCACGCAGGACACGTCTATCTCCTTGGCAAACTCGCGCACTGCTTCGTTGGGGTCCTCGTAGGTGAAGGGGTCAATGTAGACCTTCATTCCCGGCGTTACTATAGGGGATTCAGTGGCAAGAACAGGAAAGTGAATCTATGCGGCCAAAGGAAACATTTCAACAATCATTCAAACTGTGTAATTTTATGAAACTTAATTAATTAATTGTAGATCAAATCAAGATCCTTCTAAACTGCATTTGATAGATCAGGCAATTCATGCCAATGCAATCCTGGAGCCCATCGGGTATCAATTGATGACAAATTAACCTTGGGGGACCATGGCAAATATTTTGGGGCTTGCAGTGTAGACGGTGGATATCCGAGCAAAGACTCACACCCTTGACAGTCCAACTAGTTTCTTTTATCACAACAAGTTGACCATTTCTCTACACAGAAGACAGACAGTAATAGTTTTTGTTTAAGGTCCAAATGACAATGTGTTCTGCCTTTTTTGCTCTCTACATTGACTGTTTACCTGCGGGCAACCGAAGCCTGCTCAAACACAATTGGTCAAACTAGAAACAGAAACCGGAAGTCTTCAGGCTCCAAAACCAGGTCCTTCGTCTACAGATTCTGCATCGTCACATGCAGAATCTGTTTATAGAGATGAAGTTATTTGAGCTACTCCTTGGTAGGTGTGGATGCTCAGTAAATTTGAGGTACAGGATTATTGCTACTGAAATGTGGAGTCATGTAGCAAGGAGGGGCATCTCAGCAAAGAGACTTACTGTACTGCTGCAGTTTCTCTGTGTACTCCGACTCTGAGCCATTCCTCTGCTTTCTGTTGAGAAAGAGGAAAACAAACTGAGTCACATGGACTCACAGCAGGGTGCAAATACTGGGAAGGAACAAAGGCATGAGGAGAAAACAGATCCCTAATAATGTCTGCAGAGATGTAGCCACACTATAGTGGTGCCTTTTTACGATGTTTAGTCTTCCTGCATTGGAAGCAAGGGATCCACTGTAGATAAAGATTGTATCAATACCTGGTAGTGAAATGATTCATTCTTGGGACTGTAACTCAAGTCTAAACAAAAGATATCGCCCCATTGTATCGAGCAGCGAGTGGAAGCCATTCTCTCTCGTACCCCCAGAAGCAGAGTTAAACAGCAAGCTCAGCTGTCTTGCGTTTCTAGCCCTACAGACATCACAGTGTTCATTTCGATCAGGCTGGCTCTTATTTTCTCCTCATGGACTCTTTCTCTCTTGCTGTCATTCTCTCTTTTCCTTTTTTATGCATTTGTCTTCTCTCTTTTTCTCTTTTCCTTGTATCTCTATTGTGTCTTCCTGTATCCGCATCTCCTCACATGTGTCCCTTCTACACCGGTGGGGGGGTGCACAGAGATGATGACAGAATGAGGGGGCTGGGTTGTTGAAATTACATGTTAATGTGCTTCCTTTGTTGTCAAACCAGTAACCAGGGCAATAATACCCGATGGTGATTTGCATCTTATTTCAAATTCTAATTTGGTTCCGGAATATGCCGAAGCTCCGTGTTTTGTATTATTACTATTTCTTCTTCTGTGGCAGTCGGTGCCGGAGCTAAGCCAAGACCCTGAGAGAGACACAATGTAGCGGTGTTAAAATAGACGAGTGAAGAGGCAGGAGGGAGAACGAGAGGAGGGGGAGCCAGGGAGATTATTATTCAGTCTAGCGTGACCGATGCCCACGCTTGTCAGACACTGCCTGAACTGGCTTTCTGAGGGAACCCAGTGAGCACCACTGCCAACCTTTAACACATATACACACACAAAAACACACACACACACACACACACTAAATTTGCTGCCTGACAAATGAGTGGTATAAGGATAAACGAGTGTGGTTAAACCAAGCTGATGCAATGTTAGACTTTTTGAAAGGTGTGAGCAGCCGCTCGCGTCTTCCCATTCAATTGCACCCAGCAGACAGGGGTGCATCTGGATTCTTTGTTGACAGTTGACTCAGAGTGTTGGGCCATGAGGGCAAGCCTATCAGTCCCAACAGCTGCTCCACCATGCTGTGTCCAGTGAGCAAAGTAGCATTTTAACCAAAGCTGTTTACTATTCACACATTCAGTGACGGCTAATCTGGCATTCAATGGCCTCACAGGTGGCACAGAAATACAGCAAGACTGATCTGGGGTGGTTTGGAGGACATGCAAACAAAGTTGACATTTGAAGCTATCTCAATTTATTTCAACCTGAAAGATAATTTTTTACAAAGTTTCTTTAAGAGCTTTTTTCAACATATTTTGCAGTTTAGATAAAGTAAAGGCGTAAGTATAAGTGTTCTGCCACTCTGTTATCTGCCATTACTGCCCAAGTTGCTGATGCTCATCTTTCACATGTTCCGACTTTTCGATAAGCTAATGAAGGAGCTATATCCTCACCTGAGGCAGACGATTGCGATGACCACAACTGCAATGATGAAGACAAAGGTAGTGGTGGCTGATCCCACGATGAGTGGCACCTGCTCTTGCCATGACTTTGGAGGGTCGGCTTTTGGGGGTGAAAGAAAGTAATTTACTTAGAGAACATACAAACATACATCTGTACAGGCTACAATTCCTTTATTTTTCCTCTCTGCATGCTCTAAGTCTAAATATAAACTCTTTCCAACTAAACATCTGTATGTTTACGTAAGTAAAACCATTCCTTTGGGTTCTTTAGGTTGTAATAGACTGTTTTTACTACTTCCACCATTTCATGATGAGTTAGGTGTGAAGCAGATTTTTACCAATTTCATAAGCCAGTTTCTCTAGAAGGATTTCAGTTACTTTTTTCATTAAAAATAGGAAAGGTGGCTTCCTGCTCTATGAGCTTTTGAGCCTCGATTATGATCATAAGCTTATGCACAGCACTATTATGGATATTCCAATATATCTCTGGGTAATAAAATGGTTATGACGTACTTTGCAGGTTGGTGCTGAAGTCGGCTGGACTGCTGTAGCGGCCGTAACCAGCTACTGTTCGGGCCCGGACCTGTACTACATAAGGCGTACCAGCCTTGAGGCCTTCGATGCGCGCGTTGCTCCGCTGGGCAGTCATGGTATGGGCGATGGCCTCACCCTGATCCTGAAGAGACAAAGACAGTCAGTGATACTAAAACAGCAGCCCCTTGTGCTGTCTCATTCATCTTCATCCCCTCTCTGATGCTATACCCTCCCTGACAAGGCTGACCAATAGAACCATGCAGAACGGTGAGAGAAATATACAGACAAGAGTGAGAGAGAAAGAGAGATGGAGATAGACAGATCGTAGCCAGCGTGTTAATCTGACGGGAGAAGGACAAGACAACAAACAGAGCAGATATACACTGAGTGACTTTGTTCTCCCCCAAAGGCAAGTCCCAGCATAACTCTCTGGGCCCCTGGAATATGCAGAAACTTTCTGATGCATGGATTGAGGGAGGACAACCAGGGGGGTAGGAGGGAGGCCGAGAGGGAGAGATGGAATTAGGGGGAGCAGAAAAGGGCAGAGCATAATGGAACTGTATGAACGTGTTGGGAGGGGAGAAAGAGATAGAAAGCATAAGAGGGAAAGTGTAAAGATGATCATGCAAGCTACGACTGGAAATGGTGAGTCCTTGCTGCAACCATGTGTTTATCAGCAGAGGCATTGTTTCCCACATTTACAGAAACACAGACAAAACAGAGGCCATGCGAGTCATTGAAATTGGATTGAATTAGAGGCGTTGACTTACATTGCTGCTTACCTTCTCATGGTACTTAATCTCATAATCCAGAATGATTCCATTAGGCTTGTCTGGAGGCAGCCAGGACAGGCTCATGGTGCTCGCTGTGGCCGCCATCAGGTGGACTGTGGGCACTGCGGACGGAGCTACACGGGGCAGAAAGAGGGGAAATTTGTTTTATTTATTGTTTTCTGTGTTATATCTTTTCAAGTCCTTTGCCCTTTTGTGTGTTCACATAAGCCCAGACACAAAGCCTTAGGCTGTGGGCTTTGTGAAAAGCTTTGGCCAATAGTTAGTATGCAGAACCATTCCCCACTAATGCTGAAATTCTCTCTCCCCAAGGTCTTGGAGAGAGAGAGAGGGGGACATCTAATTCTCCTGTGACGTGAGAATCAAACTGCAAAATGGATGGATAAGTCTCTCGTACATGCCATTCTCTGTGCCACACACCAACTGTCGGCAAGCACAGGAACAAGAACTATTGTGCACCTTTTACTCCATCGTCCAGTCACGTTTTACTTTTTTGTGGTCGTAGAAATCATGTAAAAAACAATTAACATGTGCATTATTTATTATTTATATAAAACCCAAATAAACATATAAAATATTGGTTTGTGGACCCTAACACACACTCTGAGAAGACCATACTACACCACACTGCACTCCACCCAACTGAGCTCTTTGTTCACATGTGCCTATTAATGTACGAGTGCTGTCTGCCTTCCTGTGTCTCTTTCCTCTAGTCTAAGTTCAGGCTTGTTCTGTAGCTCTGACTCACTCTCTCCTCTCGCTCTACTCCATCTCTTTTTTGTTTCAAATGTTTAACCGTCTACCTCTGGTGGTACCTTCTTTTCAAAAATAAACTCTCTCACTTTTGTCTTATACTTTCAAAATTACCTTCTTAAATTCCTCCCCGTTTTCACTCCTGTCTTAACTTTTCATTTTCTTTTCACACTCTCTCTCCCTATTTTTGTTAAAAGCTTTTTAATCCCCAGTTTTTGCTCCTTTGATCCTCCCCCTTGCATTTCCTTTCTCTGTCTGCTGCTACGTGTTTGTAGCCAGACATCCTTCTGTTTCTCTCTCCCTTTGCTCCTAAAACCTTCCCTTCAATCCCCCGTTCCCTCCCCTGCCATCCCCATCCACCCAGACCCTCCACATCTCTCTTTCTCCCCAGATGACAATACTTCCTCTGCAGATCCCCTGGTAACTCTAGCCGAGGGATTAGGGGCCCTCCTGCAGGAGAAGATGTTGCAGTAACCATGGAGGTGGCCCCTGCGGCTTATCACCAGCCTAGTATTTATTTTGGTTCTTAAAAGGTGAATGCACATGCAGGGATGGTCTTGGGACTACACCGGGGGATTATCTGATCCCAGTTGATGCTCAACATGCCCCCTCCCTTCCCTTCACCTCTGTCTCGCCACTCAACTGACCCCAGCACCCAAAGATGGACGGTGGTTCCTGTCAGCCCTGTACGGGACCCCTCATAAAACAATGAGGCCCTCATGTGCATGTGGGGCCTATTGGTCCTAAACCCACTGACAGAAGGTATTCGTAAAGTATTTTTTAGGAGTGCAAGGTTAGAGGTGATGAGCACAAGGCCATGGAGGGAAGAGAGAGATGACGGGGGATGGAGCAAGGGATAATCCCTGGTGTTGTCGAAGACTGCAGAAAGAGCAAATTTAACATAGCGACTAAACACATCTAAGGCGCTGCTTAAGATCCCTGGGAGAACCGCGACCAAGAGACCAGCTCGCAGGAACAAAAGTCCAAAGTGAGCTCAGCAGCACTAAAATTTACTGAGGTTGTTGATCGTTTTGTTTTTTTTCTAAGTAATTTCCAAAATGATCAACCTGGCAACCTAACTATACACACGTCCCTACCAATTTACCTATTGACCTTATTCAAAATCATTAACCCATTTTATGATGTAAATCCCAGTGTTGTAAATTATGCACAAGGTTATCACTACTACCCTAACTTATTCTGTATGTACATGAATTGGGGTACAATCTTGGTTTCATCTCAGCACATTGGCCTAGTTACTGTCGTTGCTGTGGGCTGGAAGCTGTGGGCAGCTCCAATACTGAAGGTTCAACACACTACACACTGCCTCGCTATTGCTATTTGCAGCAGTGTTAGCACAGAGCATGCTGTGGGTGTGTGAAAAAAGGTCCCTTTCTAAGCTCATTCAGAAGAATGTCTTCCTTCTCAATCCCTGTTCAAAGAGAAAATATGTAACACACTCCTACATGGATACAATAAATTGATCTCTACTTTTTAAGCACATAACATATTCTCCGACATTCTTTTCTATCTTTTTCTAGCCTTTGAAAGTTGGCAATGCCTACAAATTCAATAGTGATCTTTGACAAGCAGCCATGAGGCTGCAGCTTAACGTACCGGCCTGATTTGTGGTGATATTCACTGCGGAGAAATGAGGTGTGTAAGGGCTCTTGTTGGAGACTCCATTGACCGCCTGGATCTCGAAGCTGTACTGCGTGTGCGCTTGCAGGTTACGGACAGCCACGCGGCGTTGGGTCAGGCCCAGGTGGCGCGGCGAGATATCCACGTTGTCGTCGCACCGCGAGCACATCCCCCGCTCAGGCAGACATTTCTTGCAGATGACATTGTAGAAGATGTCGTCCCGGTCGCCCATGTCACGTGGTTCACTCCACTCCAGCACAAGCGAAGTTTCGTTCACAATGGAGATGACGCTGCGTGGTGCCGAGGGAACAGCTGCAAGCAAAGGTAAAGCATGGATGAGATGAGGAAAATATGTTTCGAGCTGAATTTAATGTCCCTGCACTATGGATGCAGAGAAACACTGACAATGGACGAAGATTCATATTGAAAGACACAGTTTACATATCATTGTATTCTTATACATTCATAATCATCCGTCAGTGCTATTGACACAATTCATGACCTAAAAATTGTTCCTTGTGTTGTGGTATTGGCCAATTTTTCATGCATTAAGTAGTAAATAATTTTTTCTTCCACATAACAAGAGACCGTTCCAGCAGCATTGCAGGAAAAAAGGGGGGGACAGGAGTTCAAAATTGCATGCTCATTCATTGTGTATGTGTGTGTGTGTGTGTGTGTGTGTGTGTGTGTGTGTGTAACTATTGGCAGAGACTTGGCACTTCTTATCCAATTACCAGAGCCTTATCTGTCACTGCACTGTGAAAGAATCAGCCTCCCACCCCAGCAACAGAAGAAAAAAAAGGATCGTCTGCTCTCTTCAGCAGTGAATGAATTAGTTCCTACGTGTGCGTAATTGCTCTTAACGAAGGCGCAGCCACCGGAATAATTCTTTACTTTCTGTCTGTAAAGGGGGCGTCAGCAGTGAGAACAGATTGACTTCACAGAAGAAGCGGGCAGGGGAGGGCCTGGATGATAAGCTTTTGGATAACGTTGGGAAAGCAAGCAGACTTGTTTGTCGTCCATGTGGCGCGGTGGGAACATGCTCCTGAGAGCGTTTATCAGCCAATTGAGGGCACAATTCCAAGTGGAAAGTTTGGGAAAGCATTTCCCACGCAGTCAATAATATTTTTATGGCTGACAACACATTTTATTCGATCTGAATTTGTGAACCTGTTTCTGTATTTTGAAAGGGAAGAAGATATAAATTTTACAGTTAACATTATGATTATGATTTTCAAACATGGCCATGCTGTACAGTCAACAGAAAGCAGTTTTCACGTACTGGTGCAGGGGGAGTCGGGAGAATCGGTGTCTGATCGGTAGTAACCGTTTCGACAGGAGCAAATGCTTGCTGCTCCTGAGCTGGCGACACTGTGGGCAGGACAGGGCAAACAGAAGCCATCTCCCTGTTTGGACTTGAAGGTGCCAGGGCTGCAAGCTGGTGGCAAAACAGAGAAAGAAATAGAGAAAGAAATGTGTGAATAACAACTCAAGACATTTACAGAAACAGTCATAAAGCAAGTAGTACCTTTTTATCACTCGGTATTTGGAGATCATATTCTTTTCAAATGGTCTGCAAAATTAAAACTCTCTCCAAAACCCCCACCTCCCCTTTTTTTCTTAATTATGGAAACTCCACCTCTGGCAAACTCCGGTGGAAATGAGAGGGGGAGTTTTTGAGCAGCATGTAACTGTTTGCATAAACCCCTGCTCACATGAGGACAGCGTCAACCCAAATTCAGAGCCAAAAAGCCCTTGCAAAAGTAAAGATGTTCAGGAGATTCTCCAGGTTACACTGATTCACAGCAAAGGGAAAATCTCTGGAGTGCTAAAGTGTTGGTTGGTATCTGAAGGAGTCAGGACATAACATTTGCATTCCAGATATCTGGAAAGATGTTTTAGTTTACAACACATCTACACTGGCGTCAGCCCTTATCACCAAAAGCTCTTAAATCTCATCTGTACACATTGACTTCTTTGTTGATGTCTTCTATGTGTATGGTAGCTCTTTTTCATCCTGTTACATTTGTGTTCCATTTTGCTGCTATCTTTTACTTTAGGGGGCTGGCAAGAAGAATTCCAGATATCGTCCAGATCAACTCACTCAGACATTTGCAGCATATGCTTCCTTCTGCCTTTGAAATCACTTCCTATACAGACCCACGGCTTGGACATAGTTTAAGAGACTACCATAAACCTAAAACCTGGTTCTTGATTAGGGTAAAGCCTTGTTAATCAGGGAGAAACACTGCTGGTCTTTGTAAATGCCCCAGCTCCATTTATAGCAGCCGTTTGGAAGTTTATAACTCAGGTGATAAGTTGCAGACGCCACCAAGAGACACCGACAGCGGCACTGTGATCCAGAACACTTTGGCAGGCTCCATATCTTTGATAAACTATCTCGTTAAAAGATGAATGAGTTTGCTGCGGTGCTTAATAAAAAAAAAGGACGGGAGCAGGTAAGACAGACAGAGTTTACAGGGGCCAGTTGATTAGCTGACCTACTATGTGTTAGCTTTTCAATGTCAAGGACACATTGCTATGTTTGTCTCGCTGAATGATAATCACAAAACACAGCGGCTGAGTTTGTTTTTTTGCTCCCTTTCTGAAAACCACAGAGGGCTGGAAATCAGTTCTGCCTCAGACCTCTTCCTGCTCCTGCTGCTCTCGCATTTTTAAAAGTTCAATATTAGCACAAAACCACCAGTTGACTGCACCGTGTACATTAGCTCTGAGTGTATTTGTTCTTCCACCATTAATCAGAGTCATCACACCACTGACTAACAGGAAGTGCCGCCTGATGAACAGATAAGGAATGACCTCCAGTTTTTTGCCAGGTGAGAGAACAGCCTCTTTGATTTGGAATCGTGACCAGCACAGGTTCATTGAAGTTCATCCAGTGCAAAGTAAACTACAAGCAATTTCTCATCTCACAGGGGACGAGAGTGTTGGTTTTCAACACGCTTGCCCAGCGGAAGTTGTTGAGGGAGCACTCCGATTAAGAGGCACATTTTTTTTTGCAGGGAAGGGATGAACGTGCTGATCAATCACTTCCAGTGAGTAAAGGGGTCATCCTCTTCCTTTCATCCATTTTCTCCTTAGAGGAACGACAAAAGAATGAGGAAGAGAGAGAGACAAGGGGGTAGAGAAAAAGGGAGGGAGGGGTGGAAGAGGTGGAGGCATAGAAAATGCTAATCCTGCCTGCCCCACCACCACCACCCTTACTCACTCCCCTGTGTCTTATCCTCTCATGCAGAACATAGAGCTTAAGGAAGTGATTAGAATGAAAGCTGAAATTGGAAAGTGTGGAGCATGGAGAAAAGAAGTAAAGAATATTGGGAGTGAAAAATTTGCAGCAAACGAGTGGAGGGGCTAAAAAAGAGGCTCATTGATTAATATTAATGCAGACATCCTTACTGTAACTCTGCAGGCGTATTAAAGAGAGCAACAGCCTTCAGATTAAGAGGGAGAGAAGACTACAGCGGCGAGAAAGGGAGAACAGCAGCGTTGGTGGAGTTGGAGGACGGACTGCACATTGGAATGAGGAGAAAGGAAGGAGTGATGGCCAAAAGGATGATGAGAAAGGAGGGTGGAGGAAAATAGTTGGAGAGTATAGACTTGAGGAGAGGTGGTGTGAGAAGAAGAAAAAGTGGGAGATTTATCCCTTGTGGTTTCGACTTTGATTAGAGAACGCTTTATCAGGGCCCAGTGGCCAGGGCTTTAACCTTGAGCTGCCAGGAACACACAAATGAGTTTTTAACCTCATGCTGTACACCGTGCTACATGTTCTCCTTCTAAAGGTGAGCACGCATTCGATATCCAGGGTTGGACAAAAGCTGCCTGAGTAGAGTATCTGCCCACTCTCTGCTTGATCGCCAGTACGGGTGTTGAACAAAAGGTCTTCTTGGGCTCATACCTCTCTGCTATAAAAAGAGGAATGAGCCCTCTGAACCGAGGCAGGCGCAGATGATGTGCGAACTGTACGCAGAATACATATGTGCAGACACCTCACTGTGAACCCTGCTGATCAATAACCCTGTCAGCCCCCTCTCTCTCTCATTCTGCTGTCTCTCCATTTGACCTACGCACCCCGAGCTTAATTTTACGCCCCCATATCCCTCAACACACACACATTTTCCATTTATCCTACCCTCTCTCCCGCTGTCACCTGCACTCCATTTCTGGCGGGACCTGGTGTTTATTTTCACCTTGCTCTCAACCTTTGTGAACCCGTTATGTTTTCCATCAGACCTGAAAGCATCATTGGGCCTCCCAGCTGTAATAAACAGACAACCTCCCATGCATTTCCATTTATTTAGTAACTAGCTGCCAGGCAATGTCAGGTCAGGGGAGTGAATGGATGCCTGCTGACAGCATCATCTACTGTGTATTATTCTACCTTGTAGTCATTGGATTAATGTGTCACAGAATACAAGGCAAATAAATGGCTCATAATAAAGTGGCAGCTGGCCAATCTAGTGATAGAGACTGTAACCTGTAGCCAAAACAATACAGATTAAATCTCTCCAACAATCCGTGTGTCCACAGCAGTCATGTGTCCAGATGAAGCGTCCTTCAGCAAGACTTTGACCTTTTGCTTCTCACACATTGTGATTCCCTCAGCATAGAGGCATCAGAAACAGTGTGACTCAAATGCAACCTCATACATTATCGATTGCCATAGGGACCCACCCCCCAACCCCACCATCATCTATTCAAGACGGTAAAACAGCATAACCTGTTATGTAGAATTTACATAGATACATTGAATCTGGGCCAGTCCAGCAGCTGACGTAAGACTTAAGCATTGTGTACAGTGTAGTATGTCACTGCAAACCCTAGATTAATCTGCCATTTCAAACAATGAATAATCAAATGCTGGATTGACCTCAAAGGTCTGTTGTGAAAACACTCACCTTGACATTGGGTTTCCTTTATTGCTGGTTCAAAACCAGATGAACAGGTGCAGGCTCCGACAGGAACCATCCACTCCCCATCTCCGTTGCAATACAGCTTCAGTGGCACGGACACCTCAAGAGCGTTGGGGACACAAGTTCCTGGTGCAATGACCAAGGACGTTGCCTCAGCCCCAGTTGCTGTCTCTGGGAAGACGGCAAAGTTGGCAATTGTGGTGGAGCACTTCTTATAAAACACCCTCACTGAGATGAGTGACATGCAAGCACCAAGGTCCTGGAACGCCAAGTAGAACCCGGCTTTGGACAGAGGCCCAAAACTTCGGACTTTTGTGTTTACCCGTCCTGACTCGAGCATCGAGAAGCTCTCGTCTGGGGCAATAGTGTCCACCTTCACATAAGGGTTCTCCATCCAGAAAGGGCTGGTGGCTGTAGCTGAGTCTGAGTCAGACTCATAGTAGAAGAGGTTGAAGGTCTCTTTGCAGGAGCCAGGGATGTTGGGAATGCTGTTGCAATCACGCACAGTGAATTTCATCTCTACATATACACGCAGCACATCCTTTCGTGGGATGAAGTCACTGCGTAGCCAGTTATTCTGGTTGAGCTCACGTACATTGCAGACCTGATATGTCCTGATCGGGTTCATGGCATCATCATAGCCACTTACTTCTTCCCACTGTGAAGAGAAAATAAGAGGAACAGGGTTAGAAGCTGTTAATCTCTGGTGTTGTACTTTCACCCATCTCTATGCACCTTAAAATACTCAGTCAAATTACATCAATTAAAGTAGGGGTGTACGTTTGGACCAAGAAACAAAAAAACAACTCCACTTTTTTTCCTTGGTTTTTGTGTATTTTCTATAAGATTCCCTTGCCTTTGCCACGCTAGGCATTTTATCTGTGGTGAGTGTAGCGAAAAGCAGGGACAAGGACTGCAAATTCATCACAATTATAGCAACCTGTCACCCCCTCACCACAGAGCCACCACAGCATGTTTACCTCATATCTGTTTGGAAGTAGCAGCCACACTGCTTCACAACCAATTACGCTTCAATTACAGAGCAATGATCGCAACGTCCTCTAATAAAGACAGGGAAAAGGCGCCGGTTAACCTTCATGCTTTTCTGTTTTTACACCCCTCTATGTCTTTCACTGTTACCTAGAGGGTGAATTACTCAGGATAAAATGGGATTAAATCTTCTAAACTTTGATTACCAGCTTCATTAAATGAGCGAAGGCAAACTAGACTGGAAAGATTTGCTGTAATCTAATGAATTTTTCAATTGCAAATGAAAACACCACAATTAAATCATTTCACTTCAAATGGCTGTGCATTTGTGCATGTGTGCTGGGGGAACTGCTCCCCTCTCCTATCAAACAAACAGCGTGCATTTATGTTTTCTTAGCTAAGCTAAGGCCTGGTACCTTTATTTACATAGCACATTTCACATATCAAGGTGTTTTCCATATGGCATGGCAATGCATTAAAGCGTTTAAAAGACAATGAGGAGGGAAACTCCAATAGAACAAAATAAAACAAGGCTGAGGGATGAAATACTTTGGTTGAGCCTTAAATCTTAACCCATTGGACGTGCTACATAAATGCATGGGAATAAACCTGTCTATGGTAATTCACTTCACTCCAAGTGGCATCTTTAACAAAACGTCTATGGTTGCACCCTTGTGACCAAAGTTTGTCTCTGAACATTTGACTGTCTCGAAACTCTGGCATAAAGGCACCAATTTTAACTCCAGAGCCAGTTGTTTCCATCTGAGCTCAGAACATCTTAATTAAGGCTGTGATATGGATGTGGTGGAGACAAGGCTATTAATCCAAGACCCTGGAGGCCATGATGGAGAGAGGGAGAATGGGCGTAGCTCAGTCGTGGCATTAAAGCGATGGCCAAACGAGAGCGAGAGAAGGGGAGGAAGCGACCGTAGGGAATCGATAATCACCAGCCAGGTCAATGGGAAGACTAAAAGCATGAGGTGTCGATGGTTATTAAGTTCAGTGTAATAAATCACCCACTGCAAAAGAGCAATGTGGCCAAGTGTTTGTGGGTGTATGCATGAGGTTGTGTGTGTTTGTCTGAGCGATATGTCTGCATGAGCATGCATTTTCTATGCATGTTTGTGTATAAGTGTGTGTTCAGGGGGACCACATCCCAGTGAGACACACACCAGTGGTCAACCCCGAGTGCCTGCTTACCAAGGCTGAATGTATTAAACAGGTCATGAAAAAAGTTTCTTGGTATTGACTTCCAACAGGATGGAAGGATATGCAACATGTGAGATTCACATTTTCTCTTACTTCTTCCCAATCAAAGTTATAGATTTTACTTTCAGATGACAACGCCTCTGTCAAAATAGTTTGGAATAAACTAGAAACAGGAATATGGTTGTGAGGACAGCGATGCTGGTTGTGCTGTACACATTCTCTCAGACCTATTCTCGATGTCTTGATACCTCTTTTCATTCAAGCAAACATTAAGCAACTAAACTAGATCTATTGGCTTAAGGCATTAGCTGAAATACTTATGTTTGTTCCAGATGTGAATGTGCTCTCTGGGGCTAGACTTAAGGGCATTTCAAACGTATTCATCTCATGTGTTAGCACGCTGGGGGTCTGTGAAGCAGGCGGCGAAACACTAACAATAGTCATTACCTCCACAAGTAAAAAAATTGGTATATTGTTATCAGTGTATGGTTTATGGAAAACCCTGAGTGTGGGCCCTGTTATAAAGTGGAATTCCCCCATGATATCCCATCTGTTTTGTAAGACAAATGATACTGTGTATGAATAAACACACACAATACAGAGACATGTAGTGCAAATTAAGCAACAACACCAGCCCAGATCGAGATGGTTTTTGCCTTACACACACACACACACACACACACACACACACACACACACACACAAACTCACACTTAAACACAGACATGAATGATGCACAAATGCTACAGGCTATACGGACGGATGCAGACAGTGAGACGGAGTAGTGCACATACCTGAGTAAAGACACAGAGGGGAAAAATATGATAGAATACATGTGCACACAGAGAAACATAGTAATGAGGTATGTGAAGACTCTGACTTGAAAGGTTCAATACTTAAAGGACCATATTTTAAGAGGTATAATTGTACCATTTATGTGTGTCTGCTAGCTATAACATGGGGAAAAAAGTATTGATTTTTTTCCTGCTTTAAAGAGGGCCTCTTTCTGTCCAAGCCACACACAGACAGATTTTGCTGCGAAGCAGAAGTAACTGCTTTTCATCAGCAAACTCTCTGATTGGCTAAGCACAGGTTCAACTCAAAAAAGGATGTGACTTAGTTTGAAAGCTCCAGTCAACGCGACTGGAGAATTGTTGAGACTCAATGTGGATCGTAAAATACAATTCAGTTTCTACTGCTCATCCAGTTCTGCACCAATCCTCGTACCTCTGTTTGCCCCCTGTAGCCCACTCCACTATTTTACTCTGAGCCATTAGCCCACACTCTGGACTAAAACACTAGTGCCTAACTGTCAAAGACTGACTGTCCACACCTCAGTACACCTGCTAACAAAACTTTTTGTACTCAACCTACACAAGTGTGTTAACACTGTCTTACCCTCCCACAGGCAACTCAGCTGCCTGTTTCGGATCAAATTCTTACTGGCATTTAAAGCTGGGGCCCACAGCTTGTTGTGGGTGAGGAAGAAGGATGCTAGTAATAGGTGATTTCAAATTTTTCAGCTTTTTGTTACCTCTCTGAGTTTATAAAAAGACAACCAAATCTATTTTCCTGGTGACACTAGACAGAATGTGAAGCAATCTATGTCCTCAATTTCACTCACTGACATCATTGGCGCTTTGATCTTGTCTTGTTCTCTAAGTCGCTGTCTCTCTGTCTTGCGCTGCTTGAAAATGTCTCTGGATTTTACTTTATTTCAGTCCCTCTGCTTTCCCCCTTCCCCCACTTGGTATGTCACAGTGTTTGTCCTTTCAGCCACTGTACCTGTTCTTCTTAAACATTTGTCAACCGTAACAAAACAGGCTGCGCTGTTTCCGTAGCGAGACTGCAAAAGCATACAAATAATCACACGTAAAATACGGTGTGCATCAAAACAGAAAAGGGGGGGAGATAACTCAGGGACACACACCGTCTGTGGTACATTCTGTTGCAAGACAAAAAGAAAAATGCTTGTGAGAAAATTCATCCCCCTTCGGTTGGTAATGTGGGAAATCTGAAGTGCAAAAGGCTCTTCACTGTATCATCTTTTGAAAAGAAGCATCTGTTGCGGGTTTGGTTGGAAAAGAAATAAGGAGGCGTTTTTTTTTTTTTGTTTCTATGCCCTTCTGCATGGGAGCAGTGGGAGCATTGCTGCAGCATTGTAGCTTAACGAGGGGGAGGGGGACAGAGGGAGGCAAAAGAAGATGGACAGATAGGAGGAGGGAAGGAGGAAGGGGAGAGAGGGCATGACAGGCTGTGAGGGGGTGCGTCCTGATTGTTGCAGCTGATGTGGTTATAGTGTGTCTGGCTTCATTAGTGCTTAGTTACTTGGAAGTAAAGGAAGAGGAGAATAAGGAGGGTGGGTGACTTCCAACAGCTTGGGTGGAATCTTCCCTGCAAGGGCATTGGGGTAAAAACTAAATATATAAAAATGGGGGCCCACCTTTCAAAACACAAGGGCCAAGTCAGAGGGCCACACAAAGGCGAGGGGAGGAGTGCTGGCGGTCTTTGAAGTATAGCTGAGGAGGGGTCAAGACTCTTTTTGCTCCTCTTTAGCCCATTGTGGAGACCACATGGGAAAGCAAGAGGAGGCTGTCACTGGCACTTTGTGTGTGGTAGATTTGGATGCCTGGATGTGCAATAGGTCAACAGCAAGAAATATTTCTGTCCTTAAAAGGGTACTTCACGAGGAAACTGACGCTTTTCACATGTTTCGAGGGCAATGAGGCGAGAGGAAAGGAACATCTGTGACTGTGTGGGTCGGTGAAATTGGATTGCAGTGTATCTTTTTCTCCTCGCTAAAAAGCGCATCCTGTTGAATGTTAAAGCGCATCCTGTTGAGTGATTTGCTGATGAAGGTGTACATGGCTACGCAGCTTCAAAGAGGCAAGCAGGCGCACTGCATATAGAGGCACAAATGTGCACATGTAGAGTCACAGCTGCAGGCATGTGTAAAACATAAAATTAAAAATCCTACTTCCTTTTCTCTATTAATGACAGATTCTTCGTAAAACTACTACTTAATACACAAACGTTGCCTCGTAAACTTACCCCAGTCTCAGGGTGTGCGGTCCAGGCTAATTCTGTCGTAGCCCACTTTGTGTCCATCAGCGTCTCTGTGAACGGAAGCAGAGAGAAGACGACCAGGTTAGACAAAAGGAAATGGGTAACAGAGGAGATCAATAGAATAGAATAGTTTTACAAGGAAGTCATAAAACTTGTAAAATGGTTCAAGGGACAGATAAGAGGCTTTGACTGAAGTTGTTCCCAGATAACTGGATGAATAACTCAGACAGGGAGGGCTTAAAGCGATATTTAATTCAATTAGACAAAGAAGTACTGTATGTGTGAGTGTGTTGTGTGCATGACAGGAAGAACCCAGAGCCAGTGGGGGAGTGAGACAGAGATCTAGGTGGGCAGTCTGTAAGGTATTGTGTGACATTTTATTGTGGCTCCTCATCTGGCTAATTAGATGGCTATTAGACATTTGCTTTAATAAAGTGGAGAGGAAGTAACGCAGAGTCTCGCTGAGAAGCAGTTCCGCTTCCCACAGGGCGTGCTGACACACAAAAACACACAAAAACACACACGCAGTGAGCAACAGATTGTAAAACTCCAAAAGATATATTACCCAACAGACGGCTTTAATGGAGAGGGGGGTAATAAAGTTGGGTATCACAAGAGGTGCTCTTGAGCAGAACAAAGGTCAATACGCTTGAACTGATTTCACTTTTTATCAATACATGAATGCATACAAGTACGCCCTCTAAGTTTATTTGTACACTTTCAGTATCTCTGGAGACACACTGAGGAATTCACACCCTTCACACTCTCACAGACACGCAAAATGGTGGACAGGGATCTCTCCCGCTTTCCACTCTCTTGTTTCTTCTGGTAAAAGATGCCGGGTTTGTGAGAGCAGAGAAGGAAGACTGTAAATGTCGAGTCTTTTACTACCTTGTGCTCAAGGCGCAGTATGCAGCCACGTTATTATCTCGAACGCTGTGCTGTTCTACAAGATAGTAAAAGATGATGAAATGGCACTGGCGGAAAGGAAGCTTCTGCTATCCCTTGTCGTGAAGGGAAATGCGATATGCTCCAGTTTTTCCTGCCTCGGTTGCAGGGAATGAAGCTGAAGACCTCTTCAAACTTCCACTACACTATCCTACCACCATCTCTCTCGGTTGTTCTCTACATCCCTCTGCTTATTTCATCTTTGTATGTATATATATATTTTTTATGCTGGGTGAGCTGACAGGAAATGGCACCTGGGAGCAAAATAAAACAGCACAACCCCAGTATTTCACCATACCCTCTCCATATGCCTGTGTAGCTCTGTACAGACAGGAGGCAACTGGGGTTTCCCACTGAATTCTGCCCCTGCATGTTTTGAGTGACAGTGTCGCTGACATGTGTATGTGCCTATTATGCTGGCAAAAAAATATGACTTCCAGGAGGGTTCCAGCCAAAGGGAGATATCTTCCCATACAAAAAAACATGCAATCAGATTTCAAATGTAGCTTTGGCTTGTTCCCCTTAGGCAAAATGGTCTGGAAGCTTCAGTATGAGCCAGTTCACGCAGTGAGGGCTGTCTCTCGGGGAGTGGCTGTGGGAACTGTAGTGAATACCACGCACTTGCAGCACAAGGTCAAATCTGGCTCACAACCTTTGTCACAAACAATTTTCTCTCTCTCTATATCCAGCTGGCCTCCAAATCTCCCTCTGTGTGGATGGTGGATATGCTTTAAAACAAAGCCTGAATGCTTTTGCGGAGTGCTCTCTGTCGACCAGATGCAATGATCGAGCCACATTTGTCAACTTGAGCACATAAGGGTCGACCAGTGTTTTCATCTTCCAAACTGTGTCAGTGCACATTACCTGCAGGATTTCCCTTGACTCATACTGTGACAGTGTGTGATTTGGGACCTGTTAATGTTTGGCTCGCAGGTAGGTAAGCCAGTGTGGTGGAAATGACACACCTCCGCTGTGCAGGGTGTTTATTATTATGACTAGGCATTGTGTGTGGTACTAAGGCTTGTCATTAGAGCTGACCTTGCTGAATATGACAACACAGTGAAACACAAAGACAAACAGGGGGGAGTCAAAAACGAGAGGTGGCTGGGAGATTCAGAGAGAGAGAGAGAGAGAGAGAGAAAGAACGAGAGATATGCAAAACACACTCACACACACCTGTCCAATCTGAGTCAATAGGGTTTGGACGGTGGATCATTCGAGAGTACATGAGCAGCAGTAACCCTCCCATCTGGATGCATCTGCATTGTCTATCCTAACCAGGTCTGCAGTGTGTGTGTGTGTGTGTGTGTGTGTGTGTGTTTGGTGCTAAGCCCTGCATTGTGCACAAAGTGGAGCACCAATCCTGAGTCAATGGGCCTGAGCAAAAGCACTGAGTGACCCCAGCCTAACCCAGACACTCCCTTTCTGTCAGTGTGTGTGCATGTGGGTGGCTGTTGTCATTTGTTTCTGCACATTATGTGTGTGTGAATAACTTATCAGGAAGTGAAGGCACACTGCAATATTCATGACTGTACAACAAATACAGACACCTGCACAGTCACAGAAAACACACAGCCTCTCAAAAACAATCCAGAAAATAGCGTTCACGAACGAAGCAACAGTTTTCTGTGTCAAACTGACTTGTTCTATATGAAAGATAAGATAAGAGTATTAAAGAAAATGCCTTTATCTTTTTGCTTTTTTTAAAGCAAACAAAAAATCTTCTAAGACCACGCTGCAGGCAATTTTCCTAATGGACCTGGCTGAGAGAAAGAAAAGAGAAATAGTCGGAAAGGAAACCAGAAGGACGAGTTGAGGGACTAACAACCAAAGTGGGACTGTAAGACCCTCCCCTGTTGTCTGCCTTTTAGCTCTTCAAGTTTCACTTTGAACTTTTTTTTTTTTTTTTAAATCCAGCTTGTAGTTTTGCGGGAAAAGGGGCAAACGGAGTAAATCAGTCAAATGAAGAGGCAAATTTGCTGATGAAGAACACACACAGAGGGAGAGTGAAGCATGCAGATGTGGGAGGTGGTGCTGGATCGGCACACACAGATGCACAAGGCTGTTTAATCCATCTTCCTCACATGCACTCTCCCTTTTTTCATCTTCACTTTCAATCTATTTCTTATCAATCCTGTGAAATGATGGAACAAATTTCCTGTTTTTCCATCATCTATTGATCCCACTCTCTAACTACTTTCCATCTCTTGTCACTACAGGAAGTGTTGGGTCTGACCCCTTATTTCGTTTGTCTTCTCTCTCTCTCCCCTCTTCCTTTTCCTGACAATCTCTATATCTGTACTCGTGTTTTTCACGTTGTGCTGTGATGGATGTGACGTGAGGAGTGCAGGGGAATGTTTTTCAACCTCCTGCCGCTCACGACTACTATTCAATTAGCGAGTCACTGTTTGAGTAACCTGAGGACTGCTTTCGTAAAGTGTTATTTATGATGGAGGTCAAATGCTCCTGGGATTAATGTAACAAACACGAGGAAAAGAAATGGCATTATTTTCCTCTGCGTGCGCTGATGTGTGAGAAAGAATTGCAGAAATACAAACAGGGCTTGGGGGGAGATGACAAGCAAGGAAAAAGTACATGCACATACACACATATGCATGCATGCACGCAAAGCCAACCCCTACAGTCTAATCCCATAATGACAGGGCAGGCCTAATAACAGGGGAGGGCACAGAAGCATTCGTCCCTATGGCCGCATCCCATTCACACACACACACACACACACACATACAGAGTTACAAGCCTCTTAAAATATTTCTTTGTTCAAACAAGTAGACTTCTTAACAGAAAAACGAGAGAAGGGCCGAAGGAGGAAAAGGAGAAGAAAGGCTATTATTGACAGAGAGGAATGTGTAGTTGTTTCACAGGGGCCAAGTCCCCAGGGTCACACGGAGCAGACAGGTGAGGGATTTAACTCGGTGCTATGCTGCAACTTCTTTGAGCTTTTTAGCATCGTCTTTGTTAGCGTGACGCCGCCCGATGACAACTGAGAGATAACCAAACCAAACCCTGGGGGAGCTGAAAGCGAATTTCTGTCTCGACAACCCTGGGAGAAAAGATCTTTGCAGACATGTTAAATGTTTTTGTTGACATAATCCCTTCCCTTTAGCATTATTTCCTGATCATAACAAAATGGCTGCTGCAGTAATGAAACATGATGACAGCAGGATTTTGTTTTCAGCTGGAGAAAGTAATGAAAAAAGGAAAAATCAAATCCTCTAATGATTCTTCCCCTGAAAATCCTTCTCTTCAGGCTTCTCCACTAGTTAATTATCGTCTCTCCACCTCTTCTCTGAGTTGCCCTTTTGTTATGTTCTTCTACAGTCAAACACAACGAGCACATGGCAACCTGGCATGGGGGCAGCCACTCCATTAAAATACTATGCCGTCTGGTTGCCAAACACTTGAGCCTGTGTTTAGCCACAGAAACAGTGAAATGTGTCAACATTGAGAGTGAGGACCCCACGCTCGAGTTATTAGCGCTATTAGCCTGATTGCTTAGTGCGCTATCTTTGTTGGCTCCGCTTTTGTCATCCGGTGTGAAGCAGGGGCACAGAAAGAGAGAGAGAGGGGAAGAGAGACACAGCAAAAAGAGAGCAGGAGGAGAGATGCCATTCAAATTCAAATGGTCCAAGCAGCCTTTTTGCCTTTGTGCGGGGCCAGAGTGCGATGATTAGGAGAAGTCCCCCTGCATTTTGCGGCGAGACCTCCCCTCCGGCACCCACACACAAACACTCGCAGTCACGGTAATTGGTTTCTGCGACATGGACAGGCCAAGGAGGTGATTCCTCTGAGGAATTTCTGAACGGACTCTCCTCCCATGACAACCGGCCCACCACCCACACCTCCACCCAATCAACACACACACACTGCGAGCACTCACTGTCAGTCATCCCACAATAGCTGTCACACACAACGTTTGCCGTGTGTGTGTGTGTGTGTGTGTGCTAACAGGGTTACGACGTCGATGCCTCGCAAAACACTCCACCTTCCTCCATCTTTCCCCTTGTTCCCATGCACTCTCTCTCTCTCTCTCACTCTCAGCGTAACTCTTGTTTCATCTCTCCCTGTGGGGAAGTCTAAT